AAATTGAATGAGATTAAATATGCCGTATAGGTACTTCATAAATATTAATTTTGTTCTGCCTTATTAACTTATATTTTGTTTTAAGCATGTTTGACATAATATAGTTCCATGTTTGGTTATTTTTTGTGGATACTTTCCTTAGTCTTTTCTAATTTAAATTTAATATGTACTAGACAAATTTTAAACTTGTATATTTATCTTGTTATTTATCATTTCATAGAAAAACTTAATTTATATTTTCTGTTCTTCTGAAAATAATGACTTTATGGGAAAATTCAACTTTTTTTTATTGTATATGGGGTGAATGTGTAGAGTGTTTTGTAGAAGATTGAACTTAGGTAGGATTTATATTCAGTAAAGAGCCAAAGGAATTCCAGTAATTTCTTTTGCTTGGTAATGAACATTTGGCATATTTAGAGCAGTGATTCTCAACTAGAGGGATTTTGCTCCCTGGGGGAGATTTGGCAGCATCTGGAAACATTTTTCATTGTCTCTACTGGTTTGAGGATGCTACTGTTTATTTAGTGGATAGACTTTGGGGATGCTGCTCTACATCCTACAATGCACAGAGCAGCCCCCTCCTGGCCCCAAATGCCAATAGTGCCAAAATTGAGAAAACCCTGATTTAGAGAAATAAAATGAAGATAAAGTGTTGATGCTGGTGGGTATATTTGGGAGGAAAGGCTTTCCAGGTTTTTTAGAAAAACTGGAGGAAAGCCTTTCCAGGTTTTTTAGAAAAACTGAAGGAAAGCCTTAGAAAGGAAGATTGTTCTCCCCTTCCCATATTTTCTTTCTCTAATTCTTCCCGCACAGACATTCACATCCATACAGCCAGGACTGAAAGTCCAAAATTTTTGACTACTGCTACTAGTCAGTTGGACTCTTTCTTATTTCTTGCTGTTTCTTTTTCCTATTATAGAATAATGCATATTCATTGTGGAAAACTTGGAGAGAATGGAAAATTATAAATAGAAAGAAATCATCCTATCCTATCATTTATATGCAAGAACTGCTAACATTTGGAGGTATTTAGTTTGTTTTCTTTGCAGAGATTTTTTATGTAGTTCTGAGAATACTGTATAATTTTCATCCTAAAAACTTAAAACATAACCATAAGTATGCATAATGTTTACAGTGTTACTGTGATTTATTTAATCACTTCCTCTTTGATATTGAGGTATTCCTCATGTTTTCCTGTTATGAATCCTGTTTAATGAACGTCTTGTACATAATTAGCTATGTTTCAGATTCCTTTAGAATAGATTGTTAAAGGGTACTACTGGGTCAAAAGGTATGAATGAGGTTCTTGATTAGATACAAATTGGTGAATTTATCCTACCGTAGTGTATGAGACTATCAATTTTCACTTTGGATTTAACTACTTTTTTAACCAAATTATTTTATAAGCATGTAATATCTACGTAAAGCTTTTGGAGGCTAAAAGGAGAAAAATCTGTGTATATCCTTGCATTGAGAGTATGGTTAATCTGCCTGAGTAAATGGGAATAAAAGGGCAATTAGAGAAGGCAACATGAACAAATGTAAAATTTCCTTGGAGTTATGTAATTTGTATAATTATTGTGGCCTGGCAAAATTGTGTCTTGCAGTTGTGTAAATTGAGTCCTATTTTAAATGCACTGAGTCAGCTCACTTAAAGAAGTCCCTGATCTCATTGATATGAGGATTTCTTAATTGCAGGAAACAAACTGAGTGTTGTTGGAGTGGGGGGTGGGGTGGGAGGGATGGGGTGACTGGGTGATAGACACTGGGGAGGGTACGTGCTCTGTTAAGCGCTGTGAATTGTGCAGGACTGTTGAGTCTCAGATCTGTACCTCTGAGACAAATAATGCAAGATATGT